AATTAAAAATAAAAAATGAAAGAAAGACAACCATACCCGGTAAATAAACTGTAGAACCATCTCAAAATTAGTCACCCATCAATTCAATGAAAATACAAAAAAACAAAAGAGATGGGAGTTAGAATTTCAGACCTTTGTCTGAGGGGAATGAGGGAATAGAAGGCATCATCTTCATCTCCAGCATCACTATCTCCCGGCCTTCATAAAAATCAAAGTCGTCCAATATTGATGTTTTCAACACAGTCCTGAAAATTGTTTGGCATTTCAATTCCTTAGAAATCATCAAATACTTAATTATAAACCATGTAGGAAAAGAATAAATTCAGAAAGTAAGTAAAAAGGAAAATCAGGTGTTCTGCTTTGATTACTCAAACAACCTCCTGTGTATCTCTGTTATTAGCTACAGACTTGTTATCATTATATTCAAGCATTATATATCATAGCATTATTCAGAATATCTTTAATAATGTGTTGGGAAATATCCATTCCATTCCACTTATCTTGTTGCCAGAAATCCATTTTCTTACCAAAATCAACTTAGCCAACTATCTCACCTACCCCGTATAATATAACTAACCACTTATGTTCACCTAAATCACACAAAAATCAACAAAGAAAAAAAACAAAAAATGAATGTGTATACTGTAAATTTAAAAATATTGTTCAAATAATTTTTCATTAAAAGCAACTTTAGTCAAAAATAATTTAATATTTATAAAAAATAACTGTAAAAAATATTACCACTTTAAAAAAGTAGAAATTTTTGAAAATTATTTTTGATATTTTAAGTGTAAATTTTTTAAAAAATTTATAATTGTAACTTTTGTGTTTAAGTTTATCAAATATATAGTTTTGGTTTTTTAAAAAACAATTTTCATTTATCCTTTGTTATAAAGTGTTTTTAAAATGGAAAAAACAAAATAGAAAGTCAATAATGGCCTAAATCAAGGTCTTAGAAGTGCTGGCCCAATCATATAGGTAAATTGGAAACTGATAAAATATGTACTGAAAAGAAGAAAACATGGCACTTGCTTCCTGTTTCTGCCATCCTTCCCTCAGCATCTTTGGTATGCATTATCCAACCTCTTATTTCCATTAGGAGTGTTAGCCCAAACATTGTACTTGATGCTCTTAGGAATGTCATCTTCACTGGAAGATTTGATAACAAAGAAACATATTTGGTAAGAAAGTCAACAAGGATAAAGTGACCCCTCCTTACTACAGAAATTATGTTGTTACCTTTTCCATTCCTATCTGTAACCAAATTTGCAGCACCATTACCACCAGTGATGTGGTATTGGATAGCTCAAATTTAGTGTCAAAGATACCAACCTACATCAATGAGAAATTCAGCAAATCTCCACTCAAACAGGAAAGTAAGTTTTACTTACTCAAAGGGGAACCTTCAAAAAAGAAAAGTAATTTTATTTTTGACTACTTTCATAATTTGGATAATTCTAAGAGATGGATCAAGTTTGTCAAAACCAAAAGGCTTAAGACCTAAGTCAAATTAATGGGTTTGAAGAATAGAAAGGAAACCCAAGCTTTGGCCCTAACTTGAGAAGGCCTCATGGCCTGATGGCCAAGATAGGCCACGGCCCAAGGATACCGCACCCATGGGTAGCCTACGCCCTAGGAAGATGGCCCACATGCGCACACCATGCACATATGTGCTACAAGGCCGCACGCATATGGGTTCAGGCCGGGCAGCAGCCCCACCTGCGCAGCCCAAGAGACCCGTGGGCCCCACACGTGGAATAAGTTGCGTGTGTGCAGGCCCAAGAGGCCGAACGCGTGCACCCCATATGGACAGGCTCGGAACCAAGCCAGTCAGCCCAGCGCGTGACCCGCGGTTTGTGCAAACCGATCGGCCCAATCTCCACCTTTTAATTAACTAATATTTTAAATTTTTATTTTTTTAATTTTATTTTTTAAAAGATTTTGAGACTCACTTTTTAATTGCTCATGTTTTAAATTAAAATCTTACGTGATTAAATTAAATTTTCTATGTGTTTTAAATGAAAATCACATTTGATAAGTTTTATCTTATTTTTATTATTATTTTATTATAAATTATATTCGCAGGATTATTTAATTAATTTATTTTTATTTAGATGGAATAGAATAAATATTTTATTATGTAATTATTTTAGAATTAGATAGAATTTTATATAAGATATTATTTTATTATTTTATGCAAGAGTTTGTACTCATGTAAATTGTCCCAAAAAAGACTATAAAAATGTTTTTACTCATAAGTTGTAAATACACTAATTCCAATCAATTTGAGTGAATTCTTGAAAATTTAGATTTTCTTTCTATTAACATTTTTGCTAATTTAATTTTTTTAAATTCTTCGAGTAGTATGAGTATTCAAAAATTTTATTGAGCCAAGGAGCGAGAATCAACTTATCGGTAAGTCCGTAATCTTTTTTTCTTTTATTTTTTCTAAATTTTATTTTTGCATTCCTTTTAATATTATAGATTCAATTAGAATGAGAGGTTTATATAAGCGGTTAAAGTTTTGGTATTGTATAACATTGAGTGGGTTATAAGAGTTGATTTGATTCTCTCTGTACCCTCCCACATCAACCAATCATTAAGTTACCTTGCCATTAGATGTCCTACTACCATCATTCTGTTCATTAAGTGAGCAACAATCACTAAAAGTTTTGCCTTTACTTCTTGCAGTCAACTTTTCAATTCCACCCCATCCCCTAGTTTTTGCCTTTATATTGTTTGAACATAAGACTCCACTATTGCCTTGATTATGGAATTGAATCTTTATGAATGGAGATTACGTTTTACTTGGTGCATCGTTGAGCCATGATGTAAGGCCTGCAATTCATTTTGATATATTGTCAAAATTTCCCATCAAAGAGAGACGAAAAATCGAAGTACAAAGAGTAAAATTACATTGCTTGAAGATTTTAATTGATTGTGTATACCATGACCTGACAAGACATCTATGGAAGGTAAATAATTCTTTGTTAGTAATTAATTACTGAAGTCAAATTGCAGAAAATTCTTAGTAGAATGGGTAAAAATACAACTATGTGAAAAATATATTAGGTTTAAAGCTTGAAAACTCTACAATTCTATTGTAGCCATTTGCATACGCTCCATTGCCAACAAAAAGAGATGGATCCCATATGTAAGGTAATGGTATTTTGTAACACCTCGAAAATTTTTGTGCTTAATTTATAATACAAACTTTTATTTATTCAAATACTAAGGCCGCTTAAACTCCTTAAATATTTTATAATTTTAATTTTCAAATAAATATCGTATTTCATATTTTTATTTAATTAAATAATTCTTAAAATTATTATTTTATTTCGTCATAGAAAATTATATTTTGTTGTTATTGAAAAATAATTTTCAAGAAAAATAGAGAAAATATGGAAAATCTCGCGGGAAGGTTCCGCACACGCGGATACTGCGTTGCGCGTGCGCATGACCAGAACTAGACGTGCGCACTGTGCGAATGTTCCATCTGCATGAGGCTCGAGGTCCAGTCTGCGTGCACATCCCATCGCAAATAGACAGGTGCAATCTGCACACTTCTCATTGCCCGCAGACGAGCCAGCTCCGTGTGCCCTGCGCGTATGGGCCTACGCATTGTTCGTGCAGTAGGCTTGTGTGTTGTCCATGCGGTAGGTCTCAATTATATATGTAATTGGAACTCATATATTTTGTAAGGAATTTATAATAAATTACTCTGCTACATACAATTAACTACTATGTACTCGTAATCTGTTTCTATATATAGCACCCTTATATCTTAATTAACATTTGAGATGTTATTAGCTCCCTTTAAGGAAAAACATTTGAAACATATCCAGGAGAAAAAAAAACTAGGTTTGGTGAATTTGGTTGTTGACTAATATACTGCCATAATATTCATGGTATTTAGAGATAAGCAAGAACTATAAGAACTATAGGTTAGCCTAAATCCTAACATGAAATAAAACAAGAGAAAACAATTATTTTATGAGAAGAACAATAGAATAATACCAAAAACAAGCTCTAGTATGCACAAAAAAAAAAGGATGCACTAGGATGTAAAAAAAGCAAGAAAGAAAGAAAACTTCAAATGTAGCGTATGACAAATAATTAAAGGACATTATAGAGACATGTATTAGCTAGGCATCTGATTGAGCAAGAAACGTACAGGATATTGACATTCCAAGCCATCCCCAGCACATAACATCATTGATCATTTAAGTTTCTAAAAGTACCACTATAACCTGTCAACATACTAGTATAAGATGTGAGAA